AAACACCTAGTTGATTGTCTGCCTATATAAGACCTGTAAATCCTTAGCTCGGGGCTCTCCTCCTATGCTCCGCTGTGTTGGAGTGTAGGACAAGGCCCGAGCTTCAGCCTGTTTAAATAAAACAGCTGTAGAGTCTGACTCTTGGTGGTCTTCTGGTCGGGGGGTCCTGCGACCTTGGCATTACGCTATCACCATATTCTACCGAATACATTTGAGTGTATGGATTTGAAGACCTTAGAGTTTACCTTTACCCCTCTCCCTACAACCTTTGATAGACAACTTTGTTCTCCATGCCCATTTAGCTTTTTATTTAACAACTTTTGATTAGGTATAAAAACTGTACCTAATATAGGCAACTGCTGAATAACAGCCAATATACATTACTTATCTTATTGGTACAAAATAAAGAAAACATTGTTTTGATGATAGCCAACTTTCTAGGAACACTGACCAATAAGTAGATCTTTTTTTAAGTGTCTTTAAACTCTACCTCTGCATTTTTCCATATGATGAGCATCTAATCTGATGTAGTCTATGACCAAATTTTCTTCTCTGGTCACAGGTATGATATCAAATTTAGTATCTAATACTCTTACTGAATTTGAAAAAGGTCTCTTTTTGACATAAAATGAGTAAATGCATTATTATAGATTTTAGTAATAATTCTGATTAAAAATTGTTTTGTCAATTGTGCAACTGGCAATGAGTGTGGTTAAAGCATAAGAAGGAAAAATGTACACATGCTATTTCATTCTTTACTTTTCATTACATAGTAAGGGTTTAAAATGGTCTATTTTTTATCTTTAAGTAGAAGTATAAAAGGGTTTCAACTCAGTATGCCAATTTATGACTAGACTGCATCTTGGCTGGTGTCATCCCTTTACCATTTTCCCCTTCCCTTTATTTGCTTGGTGGTACTGGGGGTTGAACTCAAGGCCTCAATCTTAACTCAGCCTGAATGCTCAGTTGACACTCTTCATGAGCCATGCCTCCAGCTCGTACTCGTGTGTCTATGTGTTTGCTGGAACTGCAGTTTTAACTCAGGACTTCAAACTCTTGCTCAGTGTTCCCTCATGGTTTATGCTTTACCACTTGAGCCACACCTCCTATTCTGACTTTTTGCTGGTTAACTGGAGATAAAAGTCTCTTGGATTTTGTCTGCTGGATTTGGGCCAGTTTTGAACCTATTCTCAAATCTTAGCCTCCTGAGTAGATACGATTACAGGAGTGAGCCACTGGCTCCTGGCTTGTTTGGTACTCTTGGTCACATGCAAGTGGTATAATCCTCATCACTTTCGCCATTTTTTTTTTTTTTTTTGGTACTGGTCTTGGAGCTTGAACTCAGGGTCTGGGCACTGTCCCTAGGTTTTCTGCTCTACAACTTGAGCTAAAGCTCCACTTCTGACATTTTGGTGGTTAATTAGAGATAGGAATCACATGGACTTCCCTGCCTGGGCTGGTATCTCAGATTTCAGGCTCCTGAGGAGGTAAGATACAGGTGTGAATTACTGATGCTTACTTTCACAATTTAATAGTAACAAAAATAATGTAAATTTCTAAGGCACCATAAAAGAATGTAAACTTTATAATTTTATAAACAAATCACTGCAATGTATGTAGTCATATACATTATATATACACATACATTATGTGGATATCTTTTTGAATGAATAAATTCCTACTTGGCCTAGTAAAACAAGTTCATTATTCTTTTTTTGCGGGGGGGGGGTGGTGGCAACACTGGTTTTGAACTTTTGGGCTTGCTAGGCAGGTACTCTACACCTGAGCCATGTCATCAGACCTTTGTTTTACATTCCACCTGAGTAGCTAGAATTACAGATAGGTACCACCATATGCAGCTTGTCTGCTTAGATGTAGTCTTGGTAACTGTTTGCATGGACTGGCCTCGACTGACAAACTCCTCCACCTGACTGGGAATTACAGGACTGGCCTCCAGAAGGTGCCATTTCCTTCCTGGAAGGCGACAATCAGGTGGGCAATGCTATCAGGATGCCCTAAGCTTCAGACTGTATGTTAATGCTTCACCTTCTCTATTGAGACCCGACACATTTCCTTCAGAGCACTTATATTTTATGTACAATCTAAACCCTAGAAACATGATAGTAATCTTGCTTGAGATTCATAATTGCTCTCAAGAAAACAGATTACAAGAAGTCTTACAAATGGAACTAGTGTGTTTTAATAATGCTTTGGGTCCTACCCCATCTTTTCATTATGATACTCGCTGAAGGAATGAATGATAGATTGCCGCTTACCAGGCATAGACTCTCTCACACAGTTGTGTAAATATTAACTTACTCATGCAATAATGTCAAAGTACAACAGTCAGTCTTACTCTGTCTCAGCCAACGTTTAATTTAAACTACTAGGGAAGGGTCATTATTCACTCAATGTATCCACATGCTATTAAGTAGCTACTATTTTAATTGAGAAAAAGGCTTCATTATCCATAAGTAATTTGAAAAAGGAAAAAAAAATGTTTATCTACATATTTGTGGGTGAAGTGTTTTCAAGAGAAATTACAAATGGGTCCTATTTTAGGTCTCTTCTATTCTGAATGACAGGCTTAACATTCTTCAAACCTTAAGAATATAATGACTACATCTTTTTTAAAAGCCCCTAGGGATCACTGTACATTAATGAATCAGTCAGTAAGTTATTTATCTATAAATTAATCTTTCTAAACAGATCTCAACCCTGTTCAATTTGAATGTTAAACTTCTAAGTTTCCACTTCAACTTCATACCCAAAAGGCCTACATCTGTAAAAACATTTCTAAGAAAACAGAAAGACACCCCCTCCCCATCCCACGCCCCCCCCCCAAGAAACAGATAAAAGGAGACCAGTTACGTTCCCAACAGCAGTGGAGTCTAATTTGATGCCAGACAGAGGTTGGGAACAAAATCAGTGAACAAATCTTTCTTCAGTTTCAGTGAAAAACAATTCTGTTTCTATTTTGTTAATTAGGCCAAGATAGATGAGTTCTACCTTTGTCTCAGAAGTCATGGGCCCAAAGGCCCACTGGCTAGAAGAGGCATGCCTGCCGCTACAACAGGTGGCAGAAAAACTGTACATTAAGTCTAGGCTTCTTGGGTAACACAGTAACTGTCACAATCAAACCTCAAAGACATTTAAAATTTCAAATAATATTCAAAATCATTCAACCCTCCCACGGAAATCATTTAATCAACGAACAACAGGACTACCTACCACCAACAAAAAAAGAACCAATTAGGGAAGTAGTTAAAAAAAAAAAAAAGAACCAATTTAGGGAAGTAGTCATCTCCTGAAAAAACTCTCAAGTTTGTGTCCATAGTTGGACTACATTTAAAATCAACACCATTTTACAAAAGGAACTTGAACAGTATGGATTTTGGTATCAACATCAGTTCTGGAACCAATTCCCCAGGTACAGGGAGGGACCGCTGACTGTCTGAAAGGCACTACGCTAGAGAATGAGATAGATCTGGTTTCTGTCCCTCATGGGACATACACACGTTCTGATTGATTAATATATTTCTGATAATCCCCAAAGCCTGTAAAGACATGAAAAAGTATGTAACTCTGATACCAATGACATAAGCCTTGTATCAATAATCTATTTTTAGCATCAAGATTGCTCAGAGATGTTACAGAAGAATGTTACCTACTTTTCACTGATATTTCAAGTCAATGATTTAGATGTTAGCTAAAAGAACAGTTGAGCCTATTCTTATGACAAAAGTTATGCTCTTTATGTTGGCTTTCTAGATGTTTGTTATTCAACATAAAGTATGTTACATACTATACTTTAGAAAATGTCATAGAGGAAAATAGCTTTTTGACACCTTTAAATTTTAAATATAAAATCTGGGATTCCTTTATTATGGGCAAATTCGCAGTATATTCTAAAATGATTTAAAAAAGCAATAATTTTTAAAAATGGTAGATAAAGTACATCACTGAGAAAAAATCATTGTAGTCAAGGCAGACACAATAGTAATGTCCCTAACTACCAGAAGACCCTTCCTTCAGATTCCCATGAACCAGAACAGGCCATTCAGAATTGGGCACAGATAAGCTGACTCTGTGCACTCAGATTTAGGCTGGGAGATATATCTGGATCAGGCAGTATGTGAAGGAGAAAATCATCTCATCAGACTAGGCTGTCTCCTGTTCACTGTGAGCAGAGGTCATTGCATCCTTAAATCATACTCAAATGCCCACATTTACTTGAAGTAACCAGAACTTGATTCCAGATAGAAACTATTGGGATATCCTCGTAAAGAAACTCTTAAAAATGTATGTGGAGCCGGGCGCTGGTGGCTCACGCCTGTAATCCTAGCTACTCAGGAGGCTGAGATCTGAGGATCGCGGTTCAAAGCCAGCCCGGGCAGGAAAGACCGTGAGACTCCTATCTCCAATAAACCACCAGAAAAACCGGAAGTGGCACTGCTCAAGTGGTAGAGCGCTCGCCTTGAGCTGAAGAGCTGAGGGACAGCGCCCAGGCCCAGAGTTCAAGCCCCACGACCGCCAAAAAAAAAAAAAAAATGTATGTGGAGGTACTCTGTTAGGTAGACCCAGCAGACATTAACACCTCTTTCCTGTAGTACATGCTAGCCTTCGATGTGGAAACCGCACTTCATGAAATTTGAAGGGTACATTTTATTTCGTCTTAAAACAGGTGATAGAAGGTCTCCTGTTACATGTAGTAATTAGGGAGCTTATTCGCATACTCACCCAGTGTGGTCAGACTTGTTAATGTGTTGGGCTCATATAACAACTTGGCAAAGCAATCAGCGTAAATGCATAAAATGCCACTTACTAACGGAGGGGCTGTTGCTGGTGGACTATAAAAGATTGCTAAAATTTCAGACTCAGTTCATTTTAAGAAACCTTTATATCTGTCAGCACTGAGATAAACAAAAATACAGTGACTTGAAAAGGAAGAGCCAAATATTTTATCCAGTTTGTTTGGAAAGAAAAACATACTAAAGAGCTCAACTACGCATACAATTATGATTTTATTTTTTAAATTACAATAGCCAGAGATAGCTTTCCAGAAGGCAAAAATAAACCACACAAACATTCTAGAAAAGTCCTTTCTGTTTCTTTAAATCTAAGGCCCCCTCTAGTGTTTGGAACATTATAGGCATCACACAGTCCAACAAAAAGAACACTTTTGTTTGATTCATGTAGCATAAAATCAACGAGAGAAAAATGTCAAACCATAATTCATATTTCAAATTCCTGCTATGATTAGCTGATTCATTATCCTCTCATTCAGTAACTTTATCTGTTATTGTCAGGTTTTTAGAAAATTAAACTTTGTTAATAAAGGAAAAATATATTTATATATATATAATAGGATAGGGCTTTAGTTTCCCAAATAAATATACTTTGTTGAAAGTAATAGAAAATTAATTTAGCATTACTAGATAATCTATTCTGCTTTTATTAAAGTTAATGGTAGATACTAATAATACTTCCTAAAGTACAGACTTAAATGTATAATTGGAAATCCGAATTTTTGAAGACCCAACCTAATCTGAGAATTCACCAATAAGCTTTTTCAATTCTGTGTAAAGTGTGCAATGTGGCGCTGAGAACTAACAGTGGCTCTGAAGAACATGAGGGGCTGGAGCCCTGCAGTTCCATGCAGACACGGCGCTGTGGGGCCCAGGGACATAGCTCATGTGCTTTTCAAAGACTGATTAATATTACAGGAAGAAAAACAAAAACAAAAACAAACAAGCACCAGTTCTGCTTCTCTTTGTTTTTTGCTAAAGCCTTTGTGTCTGTTTCCATATTCTATGACAGAAGGCTTAACAGCTAGGATCTTTCTATTACCGGAAAAGGGAAAAAAAATTCCAAAAGCAAATATTGCCGTCTTGAGCAGGAGACTGACAGGGCTTATTGAGTACACTGAAAATCTGACGACTCGAAAAGCTCTTGAGACAAGCCTAAACTATGTGACTGCATTAAACAAATGATGACTTTGCCCCAGTCTGTCACATGGCTTCCCTGCACTGACACTGCTGTTGTCAAGCTTGTCTTTTGCAAGTAATACACGTTCAAAGTAATACAAGGAAAAAGACAGGTTACATAAAATGGAGTTTTTAAAAAATAGCTACGTGACTAGCTGGCCTCAGTTTTTATGCTATCTACAATCAAATGGAACAAGACGCAGCATCTTTAAAGTGCAACATATTTTCTTTCGGCTCAACATAAAAAACTCTACAACTGGAAATGACTGAGGCCATTTCTCCTAGAACAAATTTAATGAAAAGCTGTTCTGAAAGCTAGCCATTTAAACTGAGAAACACTGTGAAGAGTCATTTTAAATGAGTATATAAAATGCGATTACAAATAAAACCGGCATGGGAGAGGTAGCATAAAGTAAATGAAATCAAATAAATACTGTACAGTAATATATAAAATCCAGCTTATAAAAACTGAATGGAGCATTTAAAAATATCTATTTTCTCTATTTTTGACGATATTAAAATGAAATGAAAATTTAGACCTGGAGTCTCTGAAGAGACTTTCCAATGTTGCTAATTACTGGCACTGGTTTTAGTCAGAACCTCTCTGATCTGTCGGTCGAGTTCACTTATGATCCGGTCCTCATGATTGTACACACCCGTCCTCATCAGAGTGTCCCTTTCTTCTATTAGGCGAGTCAGGTAATCATCCAAACCTTCCTCTTCAGTGGAGCCCTGTGGACCTCCCATTCTTCTACTTGCAGTCTCGCTGGAAGCCTGGTTCTGCTTTTGTTCTTGCTGCCTTAACCTGAAAAGTCAACAAGTACAGTGCTAGCAAGCAACCGATACTGTTACAGTCTGAACAGCACAATTAAAAAGACCCACTGGTAAAGTTTTAGTAGTATTTTCAGGAAAAAGCCAAAATCAATGTATCACGTGACTAGCCAGAGTCCAAATACTTATTAAAAACAGTTTAAAAAAACAGGCTTTCTGAGTTACAAAACACATGAAAAGAATTAGGTGTGGTGATGCATGTTTACAATCCCAGCACGTGGGAGGCTGAGGCAGGTGGACAGAGGCTAGTCTGAGCTATATAAAAAGACCCTAAACAAAAGTAGCATGAAAACTGTAGACATTTTAGAATTGATAAAGAAAATAAAATCCTTTCATTTTTTTCCAGAAAGCCAAAATGGGTAACATTTAACTTTTAATTTTTTAAATTAAAATGCATATATGTACATTTTTTAGAAAGTTAAGTGATACTTGTACACAATGCTGCACACGTCTACTTACACGTGTCTTGTAAGGAATGTTCTCCCACATCAAGTATCTTGTAAATAGTTTTATGGTTCCATCATTAGATGTACCAGCATTTCATTACCCTTTTACTTGTTAGGTTGTAATTAAATATTTCTTATTTGAATATAATTTTTTTCTTTAAATTCATTCAATAATTACTTATTCTCAAGAGTTTTGGGAGTAGTACAGCCAATCAAGAAAAGTCCACACAAGAAAAGGAGCTAGTATACAATTATTTACAGAAAGCAAAAATCTAAAAACAAATGCCTGCTTCAAGAGGCATGCACACAAAGCAGGTGCTGTTTGGGGAGTTGGGTATTTTTAACAGAATATGTTAATTATAGTGCCTTGAAAAGGGAAGGTAACAGTAATACTATACTAAGCAAGAGTAGCACTATTTTTGGATGTGGAATACATTCTAACAGTTATGAAGTAACTGGCTATAGAATGTATTAACTTGTGTCTTGGTAAGATGAAACAACTGGCCTAAGGCCCTGCTTTGAGATGGTCTTCAGAACAGCAAAGCAATGAGAAGCAAGTCCTTTGTGAATGTTCACAAAGCCTATGACAGAAGTAGGAAGACTTGGTTCACAGTGCATGGCAACTGCAGTTACTATGCAGGCACATATGCAGTTGCCACACAAACTGCACGTTTCCTTTGCTCAGCTGGCCTCTGAAACATGAAGCTCTCACCAAAGAGAAGAAAAGCGAAAGTCTGCAGTCTGCCGTCTGCAGATACCAGGCAGAGAACCCAATTGCTACGAAGCACTGCATGTTGAGACCCAATTGGCTAATAGTGCCAAAATCCCCGCTGAATTTCAGCAGTGCATGTGTACAGGTGGAGGTGTAGTGTATGGTTCTGAGGCGTTGTTTTTGCTACCTTATTATTCTTTTTCTTTTTGGTGCTAGTATGAGGGCTTGAACTCAGGACCTTGAACTCTCAAGTTCTTTTGCTCCTGGCTGGTACTATCTCTTGAGTCATACTTTCCGTGCAGCTTTTTTTTTTTTTGCCAGACTGAAGAAAAGAGTCTCCAGGACTTTTCTGCATTTGAATTGAGATCTTCAAATCTCAGTATCCAGAGTAGCTAGCTAGCATTAGACAGGCTTGAGTCACTAGCTCCTGGTTTTCTTGACCAGCATTGGGATTTGAACTCAAGGCCTCACACGGGTTTGGCTTGCTTAGTGGCACTCTTACTACGTGAGCCATTCCTCCAGCCTGGCTTTTTGGTTATTTTGGAGATGGAGTCTAGCACACTTTTCTGTCCAGACTGACTTCAAACTGTGATCTTCTGGATCTCAACCTTCTCAGTAGAATTACAAGCTACCAGTGCTAACTCTCTACCATCCTTCTTACCGTCATCATGGGGGAAGGTCTTACAGAAAAACTTAAGGACACACCCAGTGCCAAACCAGGAAGTCTAATCATTCCCTTTTTGTGTCATCTGTTTACATATGAACAGTTACTAAAGCAGTTACTAAAATGCATAGAAACTAGAGTCAGACACATGTCAGAAATGTATCTATTTCATAAGAGTGACTTGTGGTGGATATAGCCACAAAATGCCAACTGAATCATACGTAATCTAGAAATTCCAAGTTTTCTCTGAATATTATTTGATTTTCTTTTTGCTATTATAATCATTCACAACCTAATCGGTGACTGAGGTTAACTAAATGTCATGGATAACAAGATGATCATAATAAAAATCTGGAATCTGATAGCTTAAGATGCCCTTAAAATATGAGAGGAAACTTTGAAAACACTGTTGAAAAATTCTGGGTCTAGATAAACACTGTCTAGATTCCACTCACATACTTTCTGCCACTAGGAACCTGTAGCTTTGTATCATCTACCCTGTTAGACAGTTCCTTCTCCTCAGCTGCTTTGGTGGTACAAACTGGGAATCTCAGCAGATAGGAGTCTGAGGCAAAAGGACAGCTAAGTTTTCAGACCGGCGAGGGCGACATAATAAATACACAGCACTGAAACCAAAAAGACGACTTAAACAAAGATGGCATTTCTGCACATAAAATTTGCTGACCATATGAAAGTTAATTTTGTTAATGTCTTAGTATACTTTATGTACTTTATCCTTCAGATCTAAAGCTCTAGTTTTCCTGATCAGGAAAGACCTAATTAAAAGGTTACCCTGTTAGAATTTTTGTTTTGCTTAAAAAAACCTCTTTTAGAATTATACCTGTTCAACTCATTTCTTATATCCAACAATTCCTGTTGCTCAGTTTTCACTGTATCTTTTTCCTCTGCAGCGAGGTAACGCAGTCGCATCTGGTCCAATTCTTCTTGCTGCTTTTTAAGACGAGCCATTTGACTCTCTTGCTCCCTCTTGAAAGAAACAACAGTCAGACACATGTCAGAAATACATATCTATTTCATATGAGAGTGACTTGTGGTTGATATAGCCACAAAATGCCAACTGAGTCATATGGAATCTAGAAATTCCATGTTTTCTCTGAATATTATTTAAGTTTCTTTTTGCTATTATAATTATTCATAACCTAACTGGTGAGTGAGGTTAACTAAATGTCATGGATAACAAAATGAAAGCCAGAGCATTATCTATATACATGTTGAATTGAAACCCTTTGTATGACTACTTAAAAATAGTAAAAACAAAGAAGTAATCATTCTACTTTAAGGAAGAGCTTACAAGCAGTAGGAAAAAAAATGAAAGAAAATAGCATATAGAAAATAATTATGTTAAGATACAAAAAAATTTAGTAACTAGAAAAATTTTAATAGCATTTACATTTTAATAACAGTCCCTGATCCCTAATTCCTACTTTGTCTCAGGTTAACATGGTTTTCCACTTTTCCAGGCTCATTAAAAAAAAAAAGGAGAGTATGAAGGAATGATACTGCTCCAAAAGAAATATATTTACTACCTGACTTATGAAATGGTAACTCCTGTTATCACCTTAATAATAACAATAAAAATGTTTACAAAAATCTACGCATCCACTTTCCTTAAAAACAGAGTCAAATAATACACCTTAGCATATATTTAAAAGAAATGAACAATTCTTCCAGGAGAGCCGATAAATTTCTTAAAAATAAATATGCAAAGCTGGGTGCCAGTGGCTCACACCTAATCTTAGCTACTCAGGAAGCTGAGATCTGAGGATCATGGTTCAAAGCCAGGGCAGGAAACTCTGAGACTCTTATCTCCAATAAACCACAAGAAAACTGGAAGTGGCGCTGTGGCTCAAGTTGTAGAGTGCTTGCCTTGAGCTGAAGAGCACAGGGACAGCGCCCAAATCCAGAGTTCAAGACCCATGACCGGCCAAAATAATAAATAGTATTCCACAAAATGGATATTCCATAATTTCTTCAATTAGTCTCAACTGCTAAAATATCCTATCATCTAAACACACAGGTCATGAACTCTTTAAGTTTCTTTAGCAATAGTGTTTTTCTTTTTGGTCCAGTTGTGGGGCCTGAACTCTGGGCCTGGGAACTATCCCTCAGCTCTTCAGCTCAAGGCTAGCACTCTACCACTTGAGCCATAGCACCACTTCCGGCTTTTTTTCCCTCTGCTTATGTGGTGCTGGGGAATCGAACCCAGAGCCTCAAGCATTCAAGGCAAGTGCTCTACCACTGAGCCACCTTCCCATCCCTGGGATAGTGTTTTTCTTTCTTTAGAACAGAACCTCAAAGTGAGAGCTGAGTCAAAATATACAGATGTTATATAGTTTTAAAATGTAAATTTAATGAATTATAATAAAAATCGAGAGTACCAAATCCTAAATATACATTTTGCTAAACATTTACAAAGTGAACCGCCCACTGAAAAGACGATCGGAGTTGCAGAGTCCCTGTCTCTTTTCCTATCCACTTCACATTTCCCTGATAGTACTACCTGAATTCCAACATCACAGATGAGTTCTACATAGGATTGTGTGGCATTTACTAGTTAGTATTGGACTTCTTTTACCTAACACTGACTTCAAGATTCTGTGTAGTTGATTACTCACAGCATTAGATGGTGTTCCATTATATGCATATATACAATCTAGCTCTTTCTGAGTAGCTCATTGGAGGTGAGAGTCTCATGGACTTTCCTGCCTGGGCTGGCTTTGAACTGCAATCCTCAGATAAGCTGCCTGAGTAGCTAGGATTACAGGCATAAGCCACTAGCACCCAGCTAACACTAGGTTTTTGAAGAAGATATTTAAAGGATTTAAATATTTTGCTTATATAGGTCATTGCAATTTCCCTCTAGCATAATTGATAAGTTGTACTTTCATTATTTCTCAATTAAAAACATTTTCTAATTTCACTGTGGTGTTAACTTTCCCATTATTGGTAGCAGGCTAAGTAATATCCAATCCTTGGGGACAATGATTAATTTCATTATGATCAGAAAACATTTTGGAATATATTATGAAATGTATTAAGAATTACTATGTTAGAGCTGGGAAGGTGGCTCAGTGGTAGAGCACTTGCCTTACATGCCTGAGGCCCTGGGTTCGATTCCTCAGCACCACATAAGCAAAAAGAAAAAAGCCGGAAGTGGCGCTGTGGCTCAAGTGGTAGAGCACTAGCCTTGAGCTAAAGAGCTGAGGGACAGCGCCCAGGCCCAGAGTTCAGGCCCCACAACCGGACCCCCCCCAAAAAAGAATTAATATGTTAATACATAATATGAGCAATTGGCTAAATGTTCCTTATATACTAGAAAATAATCTCTATTCTGGACTTTTTCAATGAAGTTTTCTAGATACACCAATAGTGACTTGTATTGTTTAAATATTGTATCTTTACCAGTTTTCTGGTGATAAGAGTTTTCAGGAGGAAGCTATGATGAAGCTTCTTATCATTCTTAAATCTGTTAAGTTTTACTGATTCTTACTTTATGTAGTTTGTGGCTATGCCATCAGGTAAATACAAATGTGCAATTGTTACTCTACCCATCTGCCACTGTGAATGTTGTTTTTTTCTCTCTCTTCCAAGTCTCTCTCTCTTCTCTATTTAGCAGTACTAAGGATTGAATTCAGGGCCTCAAGCCATAATTCCTTTTGCTTTAAATTTGGTTTTCACACAGCGCTTTGAGAATTTCCTCAACTGGCCTCAAAGCACAATTCTAACTCAGCCTCCCATGTAGATGGGATTATAGGCATTTGCTGCTACTACTCCCTGGCCAGAACAGCTCTTGTTACTGTTAATAGAATATACATATATCCCTATTTCAAAATTGAACTATTATGCATCCTTCTATTTAAAATATGTCACATAAGTAGCATATTATCGGGCTTTCAGTTTCGAATTTAGTTTTTTACTTAATATTTGCCTTTAATGGGACATTCAATCCATTCATATTTAAAGCAATTGGTAATATAAAGGAGTTTAAATCTTTCCATTACTTTTTTCTACCCAATCATCTACTTCTATATTTCTTATCTTACATTGACAATTTTATGTCAATTTTCTCATGGTATTCTTTGATCCTTTCTTTAAATATGTATTTCTCATTTAATAGATACTGAGAACCTTTATCATACTACAGAACATAAAGCATATCTTACACATTTTAACTCCCTTCCTTCATATTTTTGTACTATTTTTCATGAATTTTAATTTTACATGTATTTCTCACTCAAGAAATACTTTAATTACTGTTTTTCCACAAGCATTATTTCCCTCTAGCTTGGCATTTAGTTTTCATTACTCTCTATTTTCTTATGCTTCAGTGCTTTCATCTATTAAAAAAGACCCATTTCATTTATCTCAGCTTTGCTGTGACAAATTCTTTCAACTTCTGTTAGAATATTTTCAGAGAACTTTAAGTTTCAGGGTTGTTGTTTTTTTCAGTACCTTAAGGATGTTATTCTATCTTATGAGCTTCTTTACTTTCATGAAATCATCTGTCAGTCTTACTTATCTTTGTTCCTTTAAAAGGCTGTATGTGCCAATAAACATGGGAAAAAAAAGCTCAACTCCTTAGTAACAAGTTAAATGAAAGCTTAACTCATGAGGTGATCAAAATGAAAATTATAAGACATCTAGAAACAGACAAATGTTGGCAATGATGTGAAAGACAGGAACAATTAAGTAATACCACTGAAACTCATACAGCCATGTTAGGAAAGCATTAGGCAATATTTAATGAAGCAAAAAACCCCAAACAAACGGGTATTTACTAGTAGCAAAAACTCTACATCTGAACACATCTAAAAATGTTATATGTACAAGAAATATTCAGTGTTGTTTTATGATAAGAAAACCTAGGGGAAAAAATATCCACTATTAAAAAAACTACATATAGGGCTGGTAGAGTGGCTAAAATGGTATCAAACCTCAGTACCACAAACAAACAACAAAACTATGTAACTGGTATATTCATTGGGAATGGACAGAAAGATTAAAACTATAAAAACCAAGCAGTGCTGCTAATAGATACATTTTTAAGACAGTGGTTCACCACTGGAAACAAGGGAGAAGATGCAGCTGAGAAAGCCGCACAGGTCCAAAGCATTGTATTTCTTTCTTTCTTTAAAGACGTAAGATTCATTTCTGGAACGTGCATTTAAGTGACAAAGTAATTATTTTAAAGGAAGAAAAAATATTCAGACAAAAATATATCGGATTATTGTCTCTGGCTGAGAAGGGCATAAAATATTGACTTTTATTTTCAATGTTGCATAGAACAACACAATTTGCATTTTGTAATAAACTAAAGAATGACTTTATGTCAATTGCTTATTTAGCCTTAGGCTACTTTATAAAACTTGAAATATTTATATTCTAAAACATGTAAGAAAATTCTTTAAATGCCTTGATCAAGCATGTAATATTAACAATAATCACACATATATGAAAAAATTAGAGGTTAGTGAAAGAAATTCTCTCTACTGCCAGGTGCTCTGGGTTAAAGTCTCCTCAATCAATTGAGTATAATCTTTATTTTGCCTTGACATCCTATAAATCCAGAGAAAAGATGTAAACATACATACACTAGACTAAACAGCGGCTAAAAAGTGGCCACTACTTGCTCTCCCACTCACACATACCATGGAAGTCTGTGGGAAAACTTAGAACTAAACTAAGGAACTCAAGTCAAGTTTTCTGAAAATAACCCAGAGCTGACAAGTCAGTAGGAGGGCCTGGATGGTTTCAAGACACAGTTTTTAACCAAGACTTGGACCTCCAACTGTTTTCTTAAACAAAGATTTACATCCCATCCTTGGCTAAATTACTTATAAATTAATCAAATTAATTACCCTGAGTGGATAAGCAGGAGGGCTGGACAAGACAGCGCTGATGTCAGCCGATGAAGTCTGTGTTGTTTTAACTAACTATAACAGCTTAGTTTTAAACAGATCTACTGTGCACAAATATGGTAAGGGACCTACATCCTACCTAGAATCTTAGTTCTGTTTCCTGTCCTGGGAACAAACATATCTAGCTTTTATATATTTGACATAGTAAAAATGTTTTCTACAACAAACTTATATTTTATAACAATGATTCATTTATTTTTTAAATAGTAGCTTTTATTCTGGTTATCTGAAACTACACTCTAAATTGTTAAATGTTTTTAGATATATATGTGTATATGAATATATTATCAACTACAAATTAAGGATTAACAGATAGTCAAGTATTTGTGGATCAATTTCATTTTAAGTATTTGTGTTTTAAAATATTTGTACAGTGTATTTTCAAATTAAGGATAAGAAGAAACTAAGTCGTTCACAAGATATCTAACAAGTAGAACTTTTAGTGTTGTCTCAAGAATATGAGGTTATCATTTCCTTGTTTCCTAATTTAGGACTCATTTTATGTTATACTTATATATTACAACTATTCCTGTCTTGATTATGAAAGAAAACCTTTACAAAGCTTACAACTTGGAAACAAGCTTTTATGGTTGTGAATCAGAAGTTAAATTTTCTTCTAAGTAATTAGAAGGTTATGATTTTTTAATTCACAAATTGACTTACTAGGTTACCTTTGAGTAATGGAAATCTTTGTTTAGACATTCTTTTGGCAATGGCTACCAAGCATTAGATCTTATTTCCAAGCTTTACCAGCTGTGTTTTGTCATTAACGTTTATTAACAATCTCAGATATGGCTTTCTCTGTCTAATCCGAACCACACAAATGTTTTGTATGGCCCTCCGGAGGGTTTTGATGTGACAAATTACTGGCAGAGATTATAGCCCCGTGGCTATTCACCAGAGGCAATGTAAAATTAACATGGTACTAATCCAATTTAAACAAGAAGTTGCACAAACAATTCTCTGAACAAAAGCAGAGAGACAATTCCAGTTTTACATCCAAACACAATAAATGTGCTTTTAATAAAAAGAATTTTAAGGAAAAATTTGAAGCAATTTTCACACAGATGAAATGTAGTGATTTGGTGGTTATTAATTTTAATCTTCCAAAAACAGCTAGTGGCGGAGCAAAATTCATTGTGGCGATCCCAAGGTTTATTACTTTTCTTCTGAAATTATTGCATCCCAGTGTGGTCTGCAAAACATCAATGATTCCTAGTGACCTTAAAATTTGTTTATGGTATTGCTTCTAAAGCATAACGTTTGTGGGATGAGGAATAAAAATGGTCCTCAATCAGAGAACAACAAACAACCCTGCACCAAGACTGAATGGTTACTTTCATTTCCTTTAATAGAGTCAAAGTTTAACAGTTTTCTATCCTAAACCAAGAGAAAGAAGGCATATGAAAACTACCTTGTCAAAGCTTTATTGGGCTAGATAGTAGAAAGAATAAAGTGAAAGTAGATGAATAAAATAGACAGCAAACAAGAGGGTGACTATGTTAAGGAGGAGGATGACACTATTTTACGTTCAATATCCTTTTAAAAGAGATGACCTCAACATTCCAGTTAAGCAAGAACACGAATTATGAGCTCAGGCAATACCGTTTAGAACATTTTGACTCATATTTTAAAACCATCTCTGCTGGGTACAGTGGCTCATGCCTAAAATCCAGCTACTCAATCAAGAGGCTAAGATCTGAGGATAGTGGTTCAAAGGCAGCCTGTGTAGAAATGTTTGCAAGACTCATCTCCAATTAACCACCAGATGTCACACATGGAACTGTGGCTCAAGTGGTAAGAGCGCTACCATTGAGGAATGAACTCAGGGATAGCACTGAGGACCTGAATTCCAGCTCCAGGACCAGAACCATCGCCCCCGCCCCCCCCTCCCCCATACACACAACAGAACGCTACTACTGAGGAAATGAGCTAAGGAACAGCGCCAAGGCCCTGAATTCAAGACCCAGGACCAGCACCACACACAGACACAGACACAGACACACACACACACACATACTCTCTTTCTCTCTCTCTCGCCTACAACCAACTTTAGAAAGGGCATAATATATAATATATACATACGAACAAGATTGTAACCTAGATATCTTGGCATCATGACTTTGAATTAATTTCTTCTACCTTAGTCACTTTGGTTTTCATGTTCACTGATTTGATAACATCAACATCAATGATGGCATTTACCTCACTAACTCATAACTACACTTCTCATTCAGTAAACTTGTCTTTCTTATTTTCTTCTCCTTGATTATTTCATCCCATGGTTTCTTTGGACTAAAATAATAAAATCATGAAAGGGATGCAGCCTGAATTCTGTTTAAAGGCTTGAATTCATGTCTCTATCACTTAACACCTGTGTGATCACACACAACTTACCTTTAAGTCTCACATTCTTTCTTTATGAAATGAGAATACTACCAGCTTCATAAAGACGTTTATTGGGATTAAATGAAAAAAAAAAACTCTGAAGGGCTTATCTATCCCTGGGCAAACATAGCAAACATTAATAATATTTCACATCATAATTCTTTTTATCCTTTCTCTCTAGTTGGTATTTTTCTTCCTTAGTTTTTCCTCATCTTTAACATTAAGAATTCCAGGTTCTACCTCTGGTAGGCTCCTCAATCTCTCTTTTAGCCCATTCACACTCTCAAAAGATGCATATACCTTACTGCCTGCAGAATTTCGGTAAAACCTAAAATGTTCACATTTTTAATCTTATCTCTTTCCCATTTCAACTGGCTTCTTAACAACTATATTTCCATAAGCTAACACTCTTTCCAGATACTACAGCTTGAGCTCTTTGCATTATCTTCGGCAAGAATGTTCTTGGTGTATACCCATGGCTGCCACCTCGTTCCTGAAGTGACCTCTAAAATGGATCTTCTGCATTTTACAAGAACAGACTATGCTTCTTTGTGATGAGCATGTTATTCACTATGTTTGTATTACTCCCTCTACTTCCCTAAATACAACTAATTCCACCACTAAAATCCTGACTAATCATCTCTAGAGGGCTATCTCAAATACCTCTTCATTTATGACACCTTTTCAAAGTTCTATGTACTTTCCTTTCCTGAGTAATTTGTTTTCTTTTTTTTTTTCAGAGCAGTAAGTATTACTATCGTGTATTCCTTATTACTATATTCCAAACTACTCCCTGAGGGCAAGGCTTATGTCTTCCTTATATCTGTACCCTTAGTGCAGTGTCTTTAATTTAATATAGGATGCCCCAGTAATATAATAATGCCCATTCTCAGTCTTGCCAGAATTAAAAAAAATACACATTTAACACCAGATTTTGAAAATCCAAGCCCCAAACCTTATGAGTGCCAATACAAAATCAAAAGTAGTATAATTCACCTTCCTTTATTGTCTGGGTAGGAACACACAGACATGTAAAAAGCCAAAACGAAAACAACAACAAAAAACGCCTATCTTCTGCTATATCCTTAAAAAAATGTATATGAAACAAATAGCCTTTTGTTTATACCTAGGTGCCATTCCCAAAATACTTCATTATATACATCTAAGCATCCCAAAATCTAAAAAATATGAAATTCAAAATACTTCTGGGCCCAAGCATTTTGAATAAGAGATATACAACCTGTATTTTCACTGTGTGGATATCTACGTGTCTTCATTTGTAATGTTTAAATCTCTACTTGTCTACAAGCCACATTAGCATATACTTTCTAAATTCACACAGTCTAGCAGTCCTCTACAAAGGTGAGAAGCATCACCTTAGTCATCACCCAAAGACAATCAATAGTATTTGATAATAATGGAGACAAATTAAGAAAAATACAAATCTAAAACTCACTATGCAACGAATATTCTAAATAAAATTCACATAATAAGAAAAAGCAAATTAAAAAAAAGCAAACCATTACTAGTTCTTAAAAAGTTTTAGGTCAACAAAGTAACTTGTTCATGTTTTCTTCAACTTAATTATTTGAAGAAATTACACTTAAAGTTAAAATTAACTCCTTGAAACTAACAGTAGTTATCTACTAGCAGGAAGAATAAAAAAAAAAAAAAAAGCAAGAATTCTCAGTGAACTCACACCATGGTATAAATTGTTACAATCATGCAATGATTGCTTAATTTCTTACCAGGGAATAATATTTTAAAACGTTTAAAATGTTTAAATGTTAACTTAGAGCTGCTTCCCTCCTTCCCTAGCACTGTGAATAGAAAGATTAATACCAAGAAGGAAAGCAGTACTTGTTTGTAAGTAGAAGTAAATTACTTCCAAAAGATAACTGGTAATTGATTGAAAATAAAAAGATCTAAAGGTCTTAGTTTTTAATTATAAAAAAGGAGGATCTTGTGTATAGCACATTTAAAAAAGTCCTTACCTTCAAAAAACAGCATTGGAAATTGAAAAGAAAACATCTGAACATAAAAGATGTTGCCAGATAGAAAAACTTGTAAAGAAATAGGGAAAAAGACAGAGAAAAAAAATAGGCCATAAACAACATACCTGTTTAAGTCTGGCAAGTTCTTTCAAAGCTCGTCCCCACTGCTGCTTATAATGGAGTTTAGACTTAGTTGCAGATTCCAACTTTCTTTCAAGTTCAACCTAACAGTGATTAAAATTGTATCAAGTGAAACACTACACCACTGTGTACAATCACTGAAAGATAATATATACAAAGAGTCTGGCTTAAGAAAAGAGTTTATATAGTGAAACATACGACATCATCTAAAACTGTTATATAATTTACTATAAATATTATGGCACATGAACATTTTCTTGTTTAAAATATAGTCTTATTTTTATTGCCTAGCAGTCTACACTAAAAAGGACTGAATTAGTCTTAACCTCCAGACAGTTAACTATAAATGTACTCACATATGTATATTACATGGAATGAAAAATACATTTATGTTTTACAAAAAGCAGCTCTAACTGTTAACATTCCAATTTAGCTAGCACACTTAGAAACCCAATTTTCCTTTTAAAGTCCTCTCATTATGTGAAAATTTGTTTTATAATAAAGATAATCGAGATACTTTTAATAACTATATTTTGGCAAAACTATTGAACATTAGAAATAGTACAATGTTTTTATCAAGAAGCCACTAAGAAAGAATGCAAAGTCAAAACTATTTCAAGAATTTAAACCCAAGAGTAAGAAAAACAATGTTCTTTAATAACACACATTTACTTTTTACTTTTTATTTTTCCTCAAATCTATAAAGGAAAACAAAGTGATTCAATTAAAAACACGGTTATTTATACTTGCAGCAGGCATTCTGTTGTACATGAACTGAAGCCAACTTGGCTCTGCTTTGGAATGTACTCAGTGTTTCGAACCAAGTACCAAACAAATTCACGGAGCCAACAGACAGTTTTACTATTAAGTGATAATGTAACAAATCTGCTTGAATTACAGTAAAACACTGTTGCTCTGAACTGGTCATTTTTTTTTATATCAAGTGTAGTTTTTCCCATACATACAACTCCCAGTGTTGGATAGGAAAACAAAAATGAAGACACTATAAAAATTCCAACTTCAGAAAACTCATATGAAAATAAAAGAGAAACCAGAGTGCCAAACTTCCTTCACAGAAAACCAGAACACACTCTGTAGTAAAATATGTCTAAATAGAGTCAAGCTCTTTTCTGCTTTATAAATCCCTAGTGCTTGGATTTAGGTGTGTTGACATTTTACAACCTGACTCAAGCATTTTAAGTAGAATAATATTGCTGGGATTATTGGAGATAATCTCCTCCACTTATCTCTAAAGACTTACATACATTTCAAGATAATTTAACAACAGGCCATACCTCACAAGAATAGAAAATATTTTCTATAGCTGTGAGATAGAAGAATAGTATTCAATTACAGAACAGATTTTGTCCATGACCTTGTCCTTGACTACGTCTAAATATCCTGCATGGGCCTAAGAGAGGTCTGATGGATCAGCTTTACTGAAAAATAGCTGCCACATATATTAAAAGAATTCACATTTGCATAGTTGTTCTCAATAAAATACAAAGAGTTCTACATACAACTGTTTTATCTAACAAATAAAAATCTATCTAGCAAATCTAATATCCAAACATTATTCACCTAACTCATTTGATCATTTTTTCTTTTTTTGGGGGGGTAGGAGGGGAGTGGTCTCGGACCTTGAACTCTGGGCCTAGGCACTGTCCCTAAGCTCCTTTTGCTCAAAGCTAGGTACTCAACCACTTGAGACACAGCATCACTTTTGGCTTTTTCTGTTATTAACTGGAGATAAGAGTCTCATGGACTTTCCTGCTTGGGCTGGCTTTGATCCACAATCATCAGATCTCAGCATCCTAAGTAGTTAGGATTATAGGCATGAGCCACCAACTGGCGCCCAGCCATTTTACCACTTTTTAAGGATATACATTTTATGATGTGAAAGAAGTATGAGCCCAATTCCCAGAAAAATACACATAACCAATGCTATAATTTCAAGGTATTCAAAACCTTGAGTTAAGAGTTCTTATTATCAACTAGATTTGAGACACTTGCAAGCTTTTGCACTTGATTTTTTTCTTTTTGGCTTCTTGAGACGGATTCTGGCTATGTCACCCAGTCTTGCCTCAAACATGTGATCCTCTGGATCCTAAGGGCAAAGATTACATGCATGAAACACCACACTCTGCTTGTACATTTTTTTTTTTGCCAGTCCTGGGGCTTGAACTCAGGGCCTGGCCACTGTCCCTGAGCTTCTTTTGCTCAAGGCTAGCACTCTACCACTTGAGCCATAGCACAATTTCTAGCCTTTTCTGTGTACGTGGTGCTGAGGAAAATGGCTTCCTACATGCTAGACAAGCACTCTACCACTAAGCCATATTTCCAGCTCCTTCCTTTTATTTAAGGGTTCATTGGTTCATGATTGAAAATTTACTTTGAGGCAAGTTATACACTTCTGCAAGGATAACAGCTAAAGACCTAGAGTCATTCAGAGACTACTGAATACTAAAAACACAGGTTAGCACTTAGTGGTTCCCAATTTCCCTATTTCTACCCTTGACAGCCATAATTTAAGTTTTCTACTATTGCTTTGACATTGTTTTTGTTTCTAATCTATTTCAGTCTGTCACAAGGAAAGACATATCTCTTGCTTTAAGTATTTTTTTTGAGGGGGGGAGGTCCGGTCTTGGGGCCTGAACTCTGGGCCTGGGCTCTGTCCCTCAGCTCTTCAGCTCAAGGCTAGCGCTCTACCACTTGAACCACAGTGCCACTTCCGGATTTTTT